GATTGTCTGTGGAAGGTTATCAATGATCCCCATGGTAGTGATCACTTGCCAATTATTATTTCAATCAAAAGTGGTCGTCTAAAAACAGATCAGTCAATTCAAGTTCCTTTTGACCTCACGAGGAACATTGATTGGCAAAAATTTGTATCGGCGGTAACTCTTGGTATTGATTCTACCGATCCTCTACCACCACTGGAAGAGTATCGTTTCTTTACCGAGCTAATCTACAAAAGCGCATTAGAAGCTCAGAAACGACGTGTTCCAAGTGCATCGCTCAAAAGAAGACCCGCCACCCCTGGATGGGATGACGAATGCACAAAGTTGTATCTTGAGAAATCCGATGCCTTTAAAGATTATCGTAGACATGAAAGATCTGAGCTCTTTGAAAAGTATCTAAAGCTTGAAAAAAAGCTTAAAAACTTACTAAAAGCAAAGAAACGAAATTACTGGCGTACTTTTATCGAGGGACTTTCTAGAGAAACCTCGATGACAACGCTTTGGAAAAAGGCTCGCTATATGCGAAACCGCTCATCTTCCAATGAGAGTGAAGAATACTCCTCCCAATGGATATTCGACTTCGCTAAAAAGGTTTGTCCAGATTCTGTTCCAGCACAACCAACTTTACGGGATACAGCCCGAAGTAACGGTTCTCTGGATGAACCATTTACAATGCTGGAATTTTCAATGGCACTTCTTTCATCAAATAACTCTGCTCCGGGAAGCGATATGATCAAATTTGACCTTCTAAAAAACCTCCCCGATATCGCTAAAAGACGATTACTTAACCTATATAATTCATTTATGGAATTCAATATAGTTCCACCAGCATGGAGACAGGTTAAAGTAATAGCTATTCAAAAGCCTGGGAAACCAGCGTCTGATCACAATTCTTACCGTCCGATCTCTATGTTATCATGCCTGAGGAAATTATTAGAAAAAATGATCCTATTAAGACTTGACCATTGGGTTGAATCAAACAATCTACTTTCAAATACGCAATTTGGTTTCCGGAAGAGTAAAGGAACAAACGATTGTCTAGCGATGCTTTCATCTGATATTCAACTGGCCTTTGCGCACAAGGAGCAATTGGCTTCAGTCTTTTTGGATATTAAGGGCGCATTTGATTCGGTTTCCATAGACATACTGTCAGACAATTTGCACAGTAGTGGATTACCCGGTATTTTGAATAATTTTTTGTATAATTTGCTGTCAGAAAAACAAATGACCTTCAATCTAGGTCAACTGACAACTTCTAGAATTAGCTACATGGGCTTACCCCAAGGTTCATGTTTAAGTCCCTTACTTTATAATTTCTATGTCAAAGATATTGATAACTGCTTAGATAATCAATGCACGCTTAGACAGCTTGCAGATGATGCCGTGGTTTCCATGAGAGGTCCACGTGCAGAAATCTTGCAAAGACCATTGCAAAATTCCCTAAATAATCTGTCTCTCTGGGCAAGAAATTTAGGGATCGAGTTTTCACCGCAAAAAACTGAATTGGTAGTGTTTACAAGGAAGCGGTTTCCAGCCCAACTGCGTCTAAACATTTTGGGCAGAGACATTACCCAATCTTTAACCTTCAAATACCTTGGAGTCTGGTTTGATTCAAAATGCACTTGGGGTACCCACATTACGTATTTGAAACAAAAGTGTCAACAAAGGATCAACTTTCTACGATCAATTTCCGGGACATGGTGGGGTGCTCACCCGGAAGACCTCATTAAACTATATAAAACGACTATTCTTTCAGTTCTTGAGTATGGCTCTTTTTGCTTCCACTCGGCAAGAAAAAGCCACCTAATCAAATTGGAACGTATTCAATATCGTTGTTTACGTATTGCCCTTGGCTGTATGCATTCAACACACAATATGAGCCTAGAGATCCTAGCGGGCGTAAAACCCCTGCAGAACCGATTCTGGGAGCTCTCATTAAGAATATTGATTAAATGTAGTGTCAGTAACAACCTTGTGATTGAAAACTTCGAAGAAATGCTCGAATTGAGCATCCAGTCTAGATTCGTGCGAATCTATCTTAATTATATGTCATCGGATATTAGCCTTCCTTGCTATACCCCCTCTCGTGTATGCTTTACTAACTACAGTTCCCCCATTGACTACGATCTCTCCATGAAACAGGCTATTCAAGGAGTTCCAGATCAACTTCGACCTATCTCAATTCCCCACATTTTTGCTGAAAAGTACCAACAAGTCAATTGCAATAGAAGATTTTTCACTGATGGATCACGCATTGATGGATCCACTGGCTTCGGCGTCTTCAATGAATACTCAACCGCCTTTCGGAAACTTCAGGAACCTTGTTCCGTTTATGTTGCTGAGCTAGCAGCAATTAACTTCGCATTGGGGATGATTTCCGATATGCCCATAGACCATTACTTCATCTTCTCGGATAGTCTCAGTTCGATTGAGGCTATTCGGTCGATGAAACAAGGTAGGCACTCATCTTATTTCCTTTCAAAGGTAAGGGAGCAGATGAGTTTGCTGGTCGAAAGATCATATATGATTACCTTTGTATGGGTCCCCTCACATTGCTCAATCCCAGGCAATGAGAAGGCAGACTCTCTCGCAAAGGTGGGCGCACAACAAGGCGAGATTTATGATAGAAGAATTTCACATGATGAATTTTTCCCATTAGTACGTCAGAGTTCTCTTTTAAGTTGGCAAAACGATTGGACAAATAATTCTCTTGGGCGGTGGTTACATTCCATTATTCCAAATATTTCTTCGAGAGCGTGGTTCAAAGGTCTGGATGTAAGTCGGGGATTCATTCGAGTGATGTCAAGACTTATGTCCAACCACTACTCGCTAGACGCACATCTCTATAGAATAAACCTCGTTGACAGCAATATATGTAGGTGCAGAACCGGTTATGATGACATCGATCACGCAGTTTGGTATTGCCCGGGTAATGACGCCTCCAGAGCACGACTATTGGATACCCTAGTGGCCCGAGGTAGACAACCCTTCCGTGAAGTAAGAGATGTATTGGGAACACGTGATCTTCCCTACATGCAAGCGATCTACGAATTCCTTTGTTTGTCTGATGTTAGAGATTGATGTGACTATCCCCTCCTTTCCAAACAATTTCCCGCCATTGTGTCCCAGTCTTATTATCCTCCTGTTCCTGTGCTACTTGCCCCTGCCCAGTCAGGATTTGGTCAACCGTCCGAGAGTAGTATCTGAAGGAGGTTTCAGAAACCAGTTTCCTACCTAGATCCTTCCAATTGAAATTGTTACCCATTAACCTCGAGCCCGCCACGAGTAATTGGTACCCAATACTAACCTAGAAATACTGCTATTTAAAATGTAAATCAAACATTACTGATTTTGGCTCCGCAAAGTGTCACACACGACTGAGCCTAGTAAATAAACGAACTAGTTAAAAAAAAAAAAATAGGGTCTCGCTTGTTTGCAAAAACCCACTTGTTCCCGATGGTTTTGCATCCCTTGGGTAGATTCGTCATCGTCCACGTCTGGTTTTCACTCCACTTACGATCTGGTGATCGCCGCATGACCTCGTTGTAGCTCTATGAAACGTCCTCCTCAAGCATACCATTCGTCAATGAAGCAGATGGTTGAGAGGAAATCACATCGCCAGAAAAGGAACCGTAAGTTTGACAAAATTACCCTACTATAACTATACAAGTGCGCTCCCGACCGCTGCACCTCAACCCTTGTTGACTTTATTCAATTGGTCTTGTTTGTTGCGATGGAAGCGCGTGGTCGCCGTGTCTAACGTAATATGTCCTGCTACTTTTTCTTCTTCGTCATTATTGGTTGCATTTTCATCAGGGCGTTCGGTACTTCCCTAAGAGCTCCCTTCCGTGAATAACGCTTGAACATCTTGAACATATCCTGTGCTGAAATATTGACCTTTCGTGTCGTGGTAATAGCCTACGAATATACCCTTTGCTGCTTTCGGATCGAATTTCATACGCTTGACCTTCGGAATATGGACTATCACGCTTGTACCGAAAATTCTCCGGTCCAGATTTCTTCAGGCATAGGTGATCGGTTCACCAAGTATGGTGCCGTGGATATCGACTCTGCCCAGAATTCTTTCTGCATTCGTTCTTTCCCAAGTAACATTGCAGGTTTTATCGAGGTTTTATAGCATTCTACAAGTCTAAATCATGTTCTACAGATCCCTCATAAAACCAAAATTGTTACTTGGGTTCCGCTGTGCCATTCTGCTCTGGAGTGTACCGGCAGGTCTTCTGATGGCGGATGCATCTCCAGCACTTTCCGAAATTCGTCGCGAACATACTCTCGTCCGTTATCTGTCCCGAGTATTTTGAGTGTTTTACCTGTGTGACGTTTTGCCTTTGCTCGGAACGCATCCAGTGCGTCACTTATGACCTTCAAGAATTAAACTGCCACTCTCTTGCTAGCATCATCTAAAAATGTGACACAATATCTACTGCCACCCTACGAATGAATCTCTACTGGTCCGCAGAGATTAAAATGTACCAGCTCCAGCAGTTCCGATGCCCTGGAATCATTGAAGAGTTTCGAGGTTGTTTTCCTTCCTCGAACTTGTTGCTCTTCGGACAATACACGCGGTATCCTTTCGTGTCCTCGCAATAGCCTACTAATAATAGGCGATTATGCAGTAACATTTCACTTTGATTGAAAATTATAACATGTTATAACTCTGTAGTCTGAACGTACTATTGTACCAAATTTGAAGATTTCTACATCGTTAAATATACCCCGCAGGATGGCCCCACTTGAGTGTTTGTTTAAAACAGTGATTTGTGGCAAACAAACCATCGAGCAACTTACTGGAGGTTAATTTCGTAGTTCAAGTGAGAACTGTTTCGTCTAAACTTTAAACACTTGTAGGTACCTAACATTATCATGTTTATGAAATACAAAGGTGGTTTGTTTGCCCACAACCACTCTTCTAGACAAACACTCTAAGTGAGCTTTAAAAAAAAATACATAAACTCATCTCGTATCATCACACTTCTACTCACACAATATTATTCACGATCTTAGGCGTCGTCTTCTCGATGATCGGCAGCAGCGTCTCTACCATCCACTGATTGTCGCAATCGCACAGCCACGGATTGACGCGGATATCGATCACCTCCATATCGTCCCACCGGGCCAGCAGCTGCGAATCCAACATGGTGAGGTTGTTGTTGTGCAGATACAGCTGCTTGATCCGGGGCCACTCCAACCGCACCGGATAGTCCGGATCCGCCCGGCTGAATGCTTCCCCGTGCAAGTGCGACAGCTCCGGATTGTTGCAAATGTGGACCTCCTGCAGACCTTCCAGCTTGCTGAACGCCCCGCGTCCAATCACCTTCAGCGGAGTCATGTACGACAGGCTGAGGTATTCCAGGGTTTTGATCGCCGGGAAGATGCTGTCGACGAAATAGAAAAGTAAGTACCAGACAATAACCCCTTCCCACCAAATCCACTTACTCTTCACCGTGAATGTTCTCCATCGGGTTCTCGTCCATGCTGAGCCACTTCAGATTGATGGCATATTCCAAGGCTTCCGGAATGGTCGTCAGCAAGTTTCCAGTCAAGTTCAAATATTGCAGACCTTGCGGAGTATGGAATATCCTTTTCGGAAGTTCTAGCAGCTCCATATAGCTCAAATCCAACACCCGCAGGGTCATAATGTTCCCGATGGCGATCTCCGTCGGTTGATCGATTATCTTGAAAGTGTTCTCCTTCAGACTCAGCTCCTCCAAATTGGGCATATGCTCAAACAGATCCGGATCCAGCGAATGCAACTGATTGTTTCCCAGCCGGAGCACCCTCAAGTGTTCCATCGGCAGGTACTCATCCGGATTGTAGCTTCCCTCGAAGATCTCCGGAATCAGTACCTTCCTGGTGAGCATATTGTGCGACAGGTCCAGCACCTCCAAATTCTTCAGATAGTAGAAGGCCTTCTTGGCAATGGTGCTAATGTTGTTGTTGCTCAGATCCAACACTTTGGCGTCGAACGTTGGGAACTGAGGAACCTCCGACAGGCCGTTCCGGCTGAGGATCATCGTATCGGTGGCCACGCCGCTTTCGTTCAGCGTTGCCCAATCGCTCATGTTGAACAGTTTGTACAGCTTCATCGAGGTGCAGTCGAAGGTTCGCTTTTCGGCGTTGCAGTTGCACGTAGAGCATAGGGGGTGCGGTTCCTTCTGGGGGGCATCGGTGCTGTTGGATTTCTGCGAGAAAATAAATTCAATTCAATATTATTTTAATCTAATTTAGCTAACATTATTTTAAGCTACAATTACAATTACAACCACATTACAGAATCTGTTCATGCGCAGGGCTGGTAGCGAGTCACTTTTTAGTGACTTGGTCACTTTTTTCAAACCAGTCACTAAAAAGTCTCTTTTTTTAAGGTTAAGTCACTAAAGTCACTTTTTATTGTAATCAAGTCACTGTTTTCAACTTTTTTAGCGTGAATTTATTTCAATTTATTCCTTGCTTTGTGACGTTTAATCGTCTTTCTCCATCTACAGGGTCTTTCTAAATAAACATAAACAAACTGCGGAAAAGTAAGGGAAGTTAATACGTGGAAAATATGGGAGCTTACTGGAAACTTTAAGAACCTCGAAGTGATTCTTTTAGCATCCGAAAATTTCCAGGAACTTTTATGAAGTTCCTAGAGAACTTCACAGGTGTCAAGCGAACTTGAGAAATATAGAAAACATGAGGGGTATTGTGCAATTTTTTAAGAAGTTCCAAGTACCTCAGAAAAGCTAGATCTAGAAATCTTTGGGGAATTTCAGATCTTAAGAGCAGTTTCCGTAGCTTTAGTCCAGAATTTTGGAGCAGTTTAAAGATCTATAATCGAACATTTAGAAAAATTCAGGATAGTTCCATGATGTGCAGAAAAAAAATCGAGAACCCTTAAGATGTTCCGATTCAGGGATGTACAGAGGCCTTCAGAGAAATTATGAAAACTTCAGAAAAATTTCAGGAACTTTACAGAAGCCCAGAGAATTTCAGGGAAATTTTAAGGTGTTTACATGAATTCCATTTATTTCTGAGCAGAACTTAGATCTTCGATAGAATTTAGAGCTTTATCGAAGCTTCGGGAACATCAAGACAGATTAGAGAATCAACGGGCAGTTCAAATAATTTCAAGGAATTGTAGAAACCTTAAGGAAGTTTCGAGAAACTCAGAGAATCCCCGGAAACTTCAGCAAAGCTCCGAGAGAATGTCTGGAACGTGATAAAAATTATATGGACATCCGGGAAACGTGAGAGTATTTTAAGGGTGTTATATCATGGAGATTTCAAGAACTTAAAAAAATGCGAAAATTTAGCTTAGTTGATTAGAGAACATCAACAAAGTTCCATTATTAAAAAAAAATGCGAGAACTTTTAGCAAGCTTCAAAGAAATCCAGAGAACTTTTAATACATTCAGATATTTTTAGTTGGTTTTATAATATTCAGCGAAGTGCCGAGTACTTCGAGAACGATCAGATAGCTTCAGAATAATCCCATCAACTTAAGCAAATTTGAAGTTTCTCATACAAAAAAGAACTTTTTCATTAACTTTAAGGCAACAGTTTCATTAACTTTAAGGCAAATTTGGGAACTTTCAAGTAGTTCCGAAGGCCTCAGAATAGTCCATTCTGATTTCCATTGAAATATACCTCAACATTTCGATGAAGCTTCGAATTCAATTTTCTTTTATTTTAGATTTCCTTTTGAATCTCACCCCTTCCCTTAGAATTCTACTCACATTGAAAGTCTCCTAAGAATTCATTGGCATTTCTCCTCACAAATTCTTCTCATAATTTGTTTGGCAAACTCTCCTGAATTTATTTCCCGAATTCCATTGAAGTTGTTCTGGAGTTATTTTCAGATTTAATTGTAATCCTCCTATTAGTATTTTCAAAAAGATTCCAAGGACTTATGTCCCGGATTCGTTTTCTCCCATAAACTTTATGAAATTATCCTCAAAAGACCCTTGGAATTTTCCTCTGAAGGAGTTGTTCCTCTGAAATTACTAAGAGTTTTCATTATAATTTGCTTTCAATTCAATTCAGGGTTTCTTGAAATTCTACTCAAAACTATCAGGGTTCACAAGAAATCTTAAATTCCTCAGAACTACCTTGAAAGCAGATTGCATTTGATGTTTTTCTGAAAGATTTTTTCCCAAAACTTCCTCGAATTGAGGTCCTAACGAATTTTAATAAAATTCCACGAGCTTTTAAACTGTGCATGGAATTTGACTCCAGATTTTTGAAAATTTCTTGAAGTATTATCGCTTTTAAGTCCAGAACAAGTTCAAATTTAAAATTTCTAGGAAAAACAAAACAAAAACAACATTTCAAGTCTCGGTTTTTTTAAATTTATTTTTTAGTGAAGATTAATCCACTCTATCTTTAATGTTCAAAGTGTGAATGAAAATAACGAGAAAAATTAAATGCTTGTATTTTAAAATTAATTCTTCTCTTTAAAATATCCTTAGTAATAAAATTGTTAAATTCACTGAGCCTTCCAGGTATTTTTATGAAAAATAAAGTTGCCTGAGGATTCCCGGTTTTCTAGGTTTTTGCAGTTATTAGAAACCCTGACTAATACCGTGGGTTTGGTCATAAACTTTCTATTGAATCTTTCGCTTTAAAGGTTCATATCTTACATAAGTGTTTATGAGATATTTATTGAATAAGTCTAAACATCAAACATGTATTTGGTGTGCTCGCACGCTTCAACTTGGCGAATTCTGCGTCGAGACTTGGGTCTGCACCATACAAAAAAAAAGATACAAGATCCAATTGACCCAGGAGCTCAAGCTTAACGATCATAAACAGCGCCGTGTGTTTGCTGATCGGGTTGGAGCAGTTGGAAACAAACCTCGATTTTGCCCGAAAAATCTTCTTCATTTCATCCATTTCTGGATGAACGGGTATGTGAACAAGCAGAATTGTCGAATTTGGGACAAGGCCAATCCACACGAGGTCCACCAACAGGTTCCAACAGGACGTTGCAACGTGCCACACAGCGCACGAAACAATCGATATTCTGCATGAGCGATTTCTGGGCGGACGCGATGTCAGCTGGCCACCAAGATCGTATGATTTAACCCCGCTAGACTTTTTCATGTGGGTTTATGTTAAGTCGCAGGTCTATGCCAATAAGCCGCAAACCACCGATACCCTCAAAGTCAACATTACTCAAGCCATCAACGAGATTCAGCCCGATTTGTGCGCCAGAGTCATGGAAAATTGGACCTCTCGGCTACACGCCACCAAGCGAAGCCGAGGCGGCCATTTGAACGATGTCCTATTCCATACATAATGGTATTGATAGACCTTTCAATCGAAAAATAAAATTGAAAGGTCCCGCTATTTATACCCTTCGGAGTGTTGAAACACCCTCCAAAGGCGCGCCCCTTTGTCAGTCAAAATTGGATTCCTTAGCAACAAAACAAAACTTAGCATCAGAACCCTAGTCTTAACCACTTCAAACTAGGGAACAACGAATAGAAGATTAGGAATCACATAGATGAAGACAACTAACTCATTTTTTTTTTCTTCTTACAAGATCATCCTCGGTAGACAAAGCCGAGTCTTGTCACTATCAACAAGACATAAAATGTAACAAGGAGTAAGTTTGAACTCAAGACTAGGAATCGGTGGTTGATCTTGCATCCCGTAACGTACCACATAAAGGTGATCTACCAACGTTACGGGGCTTTGCCAAAAACCGTTTAGATTCTAGCATTTCCCAGTTTGGTTGCACACACAGGATCCCTAATTCAAGGTTTACCTCATTCACTTTCTTTTGAATTTACTGTTGTGCTGCCAATGGTGAAAACTCTTTTGAAGCAACTTGCTTCTAGGTGGTCCTTCCTTGTATCGATCATATCCTTTGATGGATAATTCTCCGAATGAGGTCGGGGATATGATCTCTGTTCTTCAGTGGAACTGTAGAAGTCTTATGCCAAAACTTGACACATTTAAATTTTTAGTTAACAACTCACTTTCTGATGCATTTGCCCTTTGTGAAACATGGCTCTCTTCAGATAACGATCTTGCTTTCCACGATTTCAACATTATTCGCCTTGACCGCGCAGATTCGTATGGAGGGGTGCTTCTGGGGATCAACAAGCTCCATTCCTTCTACAGAATCGATGTGCCTTCGGTGACAGGCATTGAAGTTGTTGCATGTCAGGTTAACATTCGAGGTAAATGCCTTAGTATTGCCTCAGTATATTTTCCACCGAGAACTGCGATTTCTCGTCAAAGTTTCTCGGATATCTGCACGGCTATGTCGGAGCCTTTAACTCTCACGGTACAGGCTGGGGGGAACTGTACGACGACAACCGCTCAATCTTGATATTCGACTTGTGCGACTTCTTCAAAATGACAATTCTGAACACCGGGGAAGCAACGCGAGTAGCCAAGCCGGGTAAAGCAAGTGCATAAGAACGCCTATCAATGGTTGTTGGGTTCTGCCCAGACCGGCGATTTGCGACCTCTGTGCACCTGAACTCCGATTCTTACCTCCACGCGGTGCCCGGTGGGGTTGCTGGCGGTGATATTTGCCGTCAGTAATGCGAACAAGAATGGGGGATCATCGTTGTCACTAATGCACAATTGTTTATAAGTCGCTAGTGTCGGTGATGACGATGACAGAGCAAATCAAGAACAACATGTGAAAAGGCCATACAAGATGTTTGTAAACAAACCTTTGTAGGCCCTTTTCTCGCCACCTATATGACACCAACGCAAACCTATAACATCACCGGGTAATGTAAACTTTCCCCTTCCCGATGATATTGCTGGTTTGCGTGGGCGACCCTCGGTTGGCGAGAAAAGGGCCTACAAAGCTTTGTTTACAAAAAGCTTGTATGCCCTTTTCACATGTGGCTCTAGAAATAGGTTATAGCCAACTCTAAGTAGCCCGTGATTATCGCTACCTGGGGATGCTAATCGGCTGGGTGCTGGTTGCGACTTGGCCGTTCTGAATGAACTATTTCCACTTCCACCTCTTCAAGGTGGTTTTTTTTAAAAGGACGTTAATAAATGGAAGCACAGCGAGTAGCCAAACCTCCAGCAAAAGTAAGCAGATTAGACCTCTCACTTTGTTTGAGTTCATTATCGTTGGATTGCTCGTGGAAAGTAATGCAACATCCCTACGGTAGTGATCATTTGTCAATCAAAGTTTCTATTACCAATCAGGGTTATTCTGCGTGGC